TTGAAGAGGCCATTGAGCAAAATGTCACATTTTTCTTTAAACAGCATACAAGAAAGCAAACAGTTTGTACCATTGTTTTATCATTCAATATATATATTTATATTTATGTTTATAAATTACATTTATTTTTATTTATATTTATATTCTTTCACTCATATATCTACTTTTTGTCTACGCTTCCTTTTTTAAACACTGTCGTTTACCTAGACTGTGATGAGGTGTTGACAGTATGACGCGCTTCAAGTAGACCAACATCCATCAAGAGTAAATAGAGAATAGATGTAAGAGAAAAGAATAACCTTATTGGTGCAGTTAGTAATTGTCTACGATCGTAAAATCAACTGTGGTAACGCTAACAATGAAGTAAAGGAAAACAGACATATGCACCTTAAAAACAGTTTAGGTGAAAAGAGAAAAAGCAAATTTTGGATCATTAGGTTAATATTGCTTTCTGAATCCGTGAAATCGCTACAAGAGCAGAATGAACAAGAAAACAAAAGAATATTACGTTGACAAACTGAAGTTATGTGAAATGTTTTTGAAAACAGTATGTGCAAACACAATTCATCCATATATTCATAACAGTTCTTAACTGGTTTCAAAAAAAAATTAACCGGTAATAATACTGACTGCCAATCTCATGTACCCACTCGCAAACTTATTTCCTCTTATCTTCGTTTTTCACAGTTCTGCGTTTTTCTCACATACTTAACGGTCAAATATAAATTTATTTTTTTTTAATTTTTCTTTCTGAAAACTACTGAATCCAATAAAGCAAAGAAAAAAATCTTTTCTTTTTCACTGATGCAGACTTCGATTCGATATGCAAACGTTAAATGAATGTATAAAAATTTGAACGAACACAATTGAACGATACAGGACAGAAAAAAAAGAGTACAACCTTTGAAGGTCATATAAATAGAGTTTAAATTCTCAAATTGTGATTTGAAAATCATAAATAAAAAAACGTCTTTTTTTTTCAACAAAAGAACAAGAAAATTGTTGGCGGAAAAGATTTTCCAAACTTACAATAAACTTTTTAACGATACAATCAATTACAACATCTAAGATACAGAGTAAATTGCGCCATCCTCCAACAGCAACAGCGATAACAGGAATCGAAGCAACATAAGTGTTTTTAGTTGCCTTATCAACCTAACACCCCCAAAAGAACTTTAAAAAAAACAGGTGAGAAAAAAACAGACAAATAATTTTTGTCTTTGTCAACAGATGAAAAACAGAAGATCTAGATTATCAGTGATTCTCGGTCAAAAATGTTGCCGCCTACTACAGCAGACGATTAATGACCTTACCTACACAGTGTTCAGTCTTTGGCTCGTTTAACGCGTACGGTCAGCTAAAGATCTGATCATTAAATAACATAACGACAATAACTAGCATAAAATAGCTAGATATAAGAACTGCAGGAAGGGGTAAAAAAAGGAACTGAAAAAAATGATTCCGATTTTAACTGCTGTCGGACCGGGTAGGTGACGGGAGCTTATTTTCGTTGATTACATCCTATTATTCACCGACTAATTTCTTTGCCACTTCTTTTTGTTGCCCTCCTTCTTTTCCATCCCGCCTTTTTTTTTTCACAACATCATTCGGTTACCCGTAAAAAGTTTATTTTACCTTCTCAATATGGTATGATCTGTGAACCTCCAAACGCTGTCACCATAGCCATCACTACCATCACTAGCATTGAAAGCAGGAAGACAACGCGAGCAGGAGTATCAGCAGTAAACGTAGCAAATAATACTGAATCTGTTCAAAATCAGTCAGCCAGAAACGTTATTACTGTAAAGCAAACAGTTTTTGAGAATGTAAAAATAAAAAAGTAGGGTGATAGAAAACAATTTGCAGAAATAAATTATAAAAAAAAAGCTATCAGTGTAAAACAACAATTGTAGTGGTGCTTTTTTTTCGGTCAGTCAAAATTATATAAATTTGAAAAAAATTCCAGACTTTTTTCCGTTTTTAGTTTCACCAAGAAAAAAGAAAAGAAGAAGAAACAACCTGAATTCTATGTTATGGCAAAAATAAGTGCTTCTTTTTTCTTCTTTTTTTTTTTTTTTTTTTTTTTTTTT